GTTGTTGGAGAAGCAGGACCACCAGGACCACCTGGACAGCCAGGTCGTGTCGTCCAAGTGAACGGACCCGCAGGACCTGCTGGCCCAGACGGACCAAAGGGACCGCCTGGAGAGAGAGGACCTGCAGGAGCTGACGGAACTAGCGAACAGGGTGAACCAGGACCTCCTGGTGACCAAGGAGCACCAGGAGCCACCGGAGGACCAGGAGAGCAGGGACCACCCGGACCTCCTGGACCACCTGGTAAGTCTTTATTTTCGAGTGCAACCCTTCCGAATGAGTTTACTCAAACTATCGCTTTCAGGAGAGGAAGGCTCCTGCGAGCACTGCCCCGAGCCACGTACACCACCTGGTTATTAACTCAGCGGATTGGCGTGAGGACCTCGTCCTCAGCCATTTCGCCGCCGGTCAAAGCCGGTGACACTCACTCATTGCTGCATGTATATAGCCCCAAAGATCACGATCCCGACCCGATTAATAATAAATCACATTGCTCATCGTGTGTTCTTTGTTTTCTTACTATTATATGATCCTTGAATTCTGAGGCAGCGGTAGGGGAAAAATAATCACTTTGGGTGATGTCTGCTGTGAAATCTGATTGATTTAAGTGGAAACTGGACACATGCTTGATGAAAAACTTTACTACTGGAAAAGTCTTCCAAGTTTCGCAGTCTGTCAAACAACTAATCACTAACACTAGTTCTCATTGTGTACTTCTTCCACGTCCCGCACCAAGAAATCATTGGGCCATATGATATATGAATAGCAGAATGGTTTTTGTCAGGAGGTGATATTTTAGTGTGAAGTTTTGGTGAAAGGGAGTGGGAAAGAAAGATTTATCTCTGGCGAAACTTTGATTTGTAAGTTTATGTCGTGTATCGCTAGACGAAGAAAATGAACAAGTACGCTGTCCATCGCAGCAATGAAAGGATAGAGATCAAGTTCAAAGTTAACGTCGACTTACTGCAATTGTTATTTCTTGAAGAAGAAAACTGGCGAAGTGACAAATTCGAGTTCACTAAATAACGTCACTTTCTTTGATCTTGCGTAAGTGTGCAAAAGTGACCTAGTTCCAATCGTTTCCAAGAGTTGCGCTATCATGGTCTGAAAATAATTGATATGCCTTAAAA